ATCAGCGGGGATATCAGCATCTTGGCCTATCTCGTCAAAATCTTCGAGATCAAGCGGCAAGGCTTGAAAAATCGTTAGGAAATGTAGCAAAGAACATTTCAAATAAAGTCGGAATTCGGCAAAGGAGCGATATTGAAAGTATTAGCGTTGAAAATAATGTAAACATTGGTAATATTTCGACAGAACAGAATGCTAATGAGTTGGTCGGAGATACGAATTTGCATGACACAAGAAATACGACTCCACTGGGAACGGAGGAGAACCAACTAACCGAAGAGGCACGTGCGTTAATTGGAAAATCTTTACAGTTGTTTGGACTAGTGCATTCCCGACCTGGCGAATACGAGAACCGAAAGGTAGACACAAGAACTAAAGAAACGCCAACGAAAAGGGACTTGGAAATCATTAACATCGCTGTAGATGAAATAATTAATCTACATAGCGTATCGCCGATGGAGGATCCTTTTACATTTCTGTGGGTGGCTAATTGTGCGCTTTATTCAACTGTTGCTGCTTTTTTGTTGCTTAAAGGATGGAAGAAAGATTATGTTAATAATGGATCAAGGGGGAGTGGGAGTGCAAGTGATAAAAAGAGGAAGGAATATCTGGATAAAGCTACCAATCTCAGGTCGAAAATATCTATTGCAAATGCAGAATTGGAAAGATTAAAGGAGAATCGAAAGTTGACAAAGAAAGGAAAGAAAAACAGAAAAGAATTATTGAAAGAGTGTAGAGCAATATCAGCTTCGGAACTTGTGACCTACATAGAGAAGAAGAAGTATGAGCTGAGAAAGTTAAAGAGGAATTACATCAGACGGAAAAAGCAACATGAAGCAAGATCATTAAACCGCCAATTCAAGGAAGACGCAAAGGGTGTTTATTCAAGGCTTGGTACGATGTGTAACGACAATGAAGATCGACCCAAGTATAAGACAGACGACATCAATGGTAGTCATGATCAAGGCAGAAATCAAKCTGATGATTTTGAGAATATCGAACAAGCATCTAGTTTTTGGATGGAYCTGTGGGAGACGAGTGGGACTGGAAATGAGAAGGCTGAATGGTTACAACCTATTAAAGATGCAATTGCTCGTAGAGTGCCCCCAGCGTCTGAGGAAAAGTGGTGTCTAGATGCTGCACAAGCTGTAAAGACCTTATTGAAGAAGCGGAATTGGAGTGCCCCAGGTCCAGATAAACTCGTTAACTTCTGGTGGAAGCGTGCGCATGTACTGCATGATGGTGTGGCTAAGTCATTTACATCTATCTCCGAGAGTAGCAATGAATTTCCTGAGTGGTTTTCTGAAGGAAAGACAAGACTGATACCCAAGCCTGGTGAATTTTCAAGTGAAAATCAGCGTCCAATTACATGTCTAAATAACATGTATAAATGGTTCACCTCGTGTTTACAAGACCCAATGGATAATCACTTGTCGGAACATGAGCTGATGGAGAATGAGCAGAGAGGAGCAAAAGCAGGTTGTAGTGGGACATCGGACAATCTGATGATAGATCGAATGGTAACAATGGACTGTCATAGGGGTCATAGAAACCTTAGCATGGCCTGGGTTGACGTCAAAAAAGCGTACGACACCGTGGATCACAAATGGTTAGCTGAGAGTATGAAGGTACATCGCTTTCCCCATTGGTTGTGCAGAGTGATTAGCAAACTTCTTCAGAGTTGGAATACAAAGATTGTTGTTAACACAAAGCATGGAACTGAAACCTCCCGCAGGATTCGGTTTATGAGAGGACTGCCTCAGGGTGATGCTTTATGTCCGCGTCTGTTTACACTCTGCTTGAACCCAGTAGCCTGGTTACTCAACGCAGCTGAGGGATRTAAGCTTTCCAAACCAATTGGCACGAAGATTACCCATCTTCTGTACATTGATGATCTCAAGRTTTTTGCCTCATCTCAAACAAAGCTAAATACTGTTTTACRATCGACAAGTAAGGCAATGGGAAATATAGGATTGGAGTGGAACCCGAAGAAGTGCAATACTATCCATGTTAAAAGAGGGGTCCAAGTGTCTGATGCGTTAGGTCTTCAACTCAATCAGACAACAGTGGTTGAAAGTCTTAAGACTGGTTCAAGCTACAAGTTCCTAGGGGTATGTGAAACGGTAAAACAAGATGAGAAGTCAGCTCTTGAGTGTGCAGCAAAGGTTTACCTTCAAAGAGTGTCTGTAATCTGGTCTAGCCCCCTTTCCGATGTCAACCGAGTGATAGCTACCAACCAATTTGCACTTCCTGTTCTCAACTATCTGATGTGGACTCAGCACTGGCCAATCAACGAGCTGAGAGCAATCGACAGAGAGACAAGAAAAANTTCAAAAATTAGTATTTTATAAAGTCTGGACTTTCCCAATCTTTGTTCCTTCGGCAAAAAATGGAAAGTGGATCGAATGGCTATTTTAATTATTGCTTTGATTATATATTGCTTGAAATTGTTTTCATAACCTAAATCATCTAGCATACACCTTATCCCAAAATGGCTGACTATAGTCCTTGATGTCTCAATTTCATTGTTTTTTTTCTTTTAGTTACTCAAGCTCAAAGACAAAAGAATAATTTTATTGAAAACGAGACATCAAGGGCTAGTCAGCCATTTTGGAATAATGTGTATAGTGATAAAGTAACAATGATAATAATAATAATAATAATAACGAATTTCTGTTTAACAGACAACCAGAGTAGAGATATAATATAATAATAATAATAATAATAATAATAATAATAATAATAATAATAATAATAATAATAATAATAATAATAATAATAATAATAATAATAATAATAATGCCGAGTACAACTATGTGAAAGCAAATAGAGTGGATGTTCGTTTCGTAGACCACAAGGCAAAGCAGGTCTGGGCTGTGGAAATGAGCTGCCCTTGGATTGACAATCGTAAAAAGAAGATCAAGGAGAAAGCCACCAAGTACGGAGCACTACTTTTGGAATTAAAACAACAACACCCTGGATACAAGGTACAACAATGCAACATCGTAATTGACGTGCTCGGGGGATGGTCGAGAGATTTAGAACAAGATATGAAGAAGCTGGTTGGTGCCCGATCAAAGTGTATTTTGGAAAAAATGCAGAAAGCTACCATTTCGTGCTCGCTGAACATAGCACGTACATTTAAAGCATCAGTTACCTAAGTCTGGAACAATATAACTGACATTTTAGTGATTATAGAAGAGACTTTTTTTTTCTTAGGACATTTGATATTTGATATTTGATATTTGACATTTTCTTAAGACATTTGATATTTTGATATGTAATATGTAGGCTCATAATTATAGATATATTTTTAGAAATACAATTTGGAGTGATAGGTATTAATAATGTAATTTTAAATTGTAATTAGTAATTTAGGAGCGATATAGTTATGGACCATATAGTTTTAAATTGTAATTAGTTTCCTTTTAGACCGCATAGGTTACGTTTACGCCCTATGCGTGCCATACATTTTGCATCTATACGTATCAGTACTGCATATAATAACAATGATAATAAATATATATATTAGCGCAAAAATATCCATTCTCAAGTTCTGATGCGCTTTACAAAATTGAATATAGGAAAAAAACAGTTATAAGAATTTATAAAAAAAGATAAAAATGTTTATTTGCCAAAAAAAAGAATTTAAATATGTACGATTTTAAATTACATNGGCCGAAGTTCATCACCAGTTAAAACGGAAGGGCTCTTAAAACCAGGTAGATCAGCGTAGAGGGTAGAACCATGTGCAATTTGAAGTGTATTAGCCAGGAAATGAAGGATTGAGTCATGTCTCCAGGTAAAACGGCCATCATTAAGATATGATTTACACCCAGAGACAACATGCAGCAGAGATTCAGGTTGAAGGCAGAAGGAACAATCTGGACTTAATGAGAATCCCCATCTGACAAGGTTTTTACGTGTTGGTAAAGTGTTATTTATGTAACGAATAGTGAAGTTATAAATATTTTTGGGCAGTTTTGAATGAGCTGAGGACCAGATGGAATTTATCTTTGACAGCGAGTATTCAGTGATATTTCTAAAAAAGAAGCCTTGACTAGATAGATGGTTTTGCAATTTGTCTTCTTGGTCGCCATGAAAAGCCTTGATTACGTCTTTTGTAGATTTGTATGTGTCATATTGGACATTAGTGAAGCAGCTTGAGGATTTCCAAAGGTCTTTTATTTCATTGTTAGGTGAGGTTTTGAGAGCTTTGCGTAGAACAGTTTGACATTGAGTAAATCGTATAGAGGGAGGAGAGACATTTAAACCAAACTTTTTACATGGTAGAAAAACGTTACTTAGTGTTCCAGATACAGGTATTTCGAGCCATTTACGAACATAATTGAGCACTACTGGATCAAGGTTTTCAACAACCCAAGTTTTAGACAAATCAGCAACAGTAAAATGCCATGATACTTTAGAGATAACAAAGCGATTGTAGAGGATTATCTTGTTCTTTGGATGAAGAGGTTTAAGATCAATGTCAGACATCAAGTCGTTAAAAAGGGACGTAAGTTCAGTTTTGTGCATTTCGTTGGACATATCAAAGTCAAAATATCTTCCTAGATATTTGAAAGAGTCACCGATGTTTACATAAGGGACACGTTCCTTGTTTATTATCAATTTTGGAAGAAACTGGACTGATTTAGATATGCTTTTCTTTATTCCAAAAGTTCTACATTTATCGACTCTTATTATCATATCAGCCCACTGACACCAAATAGTAAAACGATTTAGAAGGTGTTGATTTTCAGATTCATGGCCAGTGATCACAGCAGCATCGTCTGCAAATTGAAACCAATGAATCGGATTTAAAAATGAACCAATTTCCTTGATAGAGAAACCAAATTGACGGTATTTATCTTCTTTGATATGCTGAATGAAAGTATTGAAACACATGTTAAAAAGTAAGGGACTAAGGCAATCACCTTGAAGAACGCCACGGCCAACGGTAATGAAAGGAGTTTGGTAATCTGAAGTGATGATAGATGTCTTGAAATCAGAGTAAAGACTTTGGATGAGCGTTTTGATATCATCAGGAATGTGATGATATCCAAGGACTGATTGTATTAGATTATGATGAACTTCACCAAAAGCATTTTTCAAGTCTAGCAGTGTAATTACGATGGAGCGTTGTTTGATGCGAGCTTTGTTAATTATGTTAGACATTTGGGCAGTATGTTCCAGAGTACCTGACAAACCAGGGGTAAAGYCTTTTTGGATGTTATGTTCTATTAGGTTATTCGCAGACAGGAAAGAAAATATTGCGTTACGAAGACATGATGTAAACACTTTTAAGGGGATTGATTCAAGAGTTATTGGACGGAAGTTRGAAGGAATACTCGTGTCACCCTTTTTATKGATCAGGATTGTRCAAGCTTTCTTCCATGATGAGGGAACTTCACCAGAGGTCCAAATATGGCGTATGATTTCAGTTAGGTAGGATCTTAAATACRGACATCTTTTAAAGCATATAATAGAGATCTGATCAAGTGGACAAGGACTACCAGAAGATTTCATTTTTCGGATTACATTAGTAATTTGATCATATGTTGGAGGGTCAACATTAAAGGGTGACTCTGGTGGCTTTAGACACGGAATCCAACTTGGAATACAAAAAAGCTTGTTGGGATTAACTGATCTCAGAGTTTTTCGAAAATAGGAAGCACATTCCACCATGCCAAATGAAGGAAGAACAGTTTGTTTTTTGATGAATACATGTTTAACATAACCCCAAAAGTTTTTACTGATGAATTTATCGTGATTGATGTTGTCGTCATCACCGGTAGACTTGTGGGCATCGCGTTTACTCAACCTGTCACGTAGTGTACGAGAGACATATTTAATTTCACCAAGGTCACCACCAGA